AGAAAAGGGTGGGGGCAGCTGCTGCTGCCCTGGGTTTGGGGAGTTTTTTTGGGGGGAGGCTGCTGCCGTGGCCTAGAGGGCTGGATCTTGGGTGAGTTACGTGTTAGTGATTAAAAAGGGGAATAAAACAACACACACCCCCTGGGAAAGCTGGCGTGGTCCCTTCCCAGCCACCCTGCAGCTCCCCACCACTCCCCCCTGGCTACACAACCCACTCCCCCCCTTACCTCCCTGGGGAGGACATGGAACTGCTTTTGATGAAGCTGATCTGGTGCAAGGGTGATGGGCACCTGGAGAAACTCCATCCCTCATCCTTCGACTCCCTCTGTGCAGCGGAAAACCCAAAGCCAGTGGGAAGGGGCGATCACCTCCCCCGGGCTGGCCCGGCGTGGTCCCACACAACGTGTCCCCCCCACCTTGTCACCCCATCCCACTGGCTTTGCAGCTTCACCCTGTACTCATTCCCAGCTCTCGGGTCCCTCCTGCAGGTTTGGTCCCCAAGTGCCACCAAACCAACTGTCACTTACTCAGTCACCAACTCTGCACCGAAGCCATGTGCCGGCAGCTCCACAGATCTCACCCCTTTGGCTGAGACCCCAAACAACCCCCATTTCCTGGGGTCCAGACCCCAACTAAGAAGTCGTGAGTCTCCCAATCCCATTGTGACCCATCCCACCCCACTTTTCCCCCCCACCCCACCCCCCCAGCCCCAGGCAGCCCCGGCTGGGCTGCACTCACCCCACACTGCGTGGGCATGCGGGGGCTGCTCGTGGGGCTCAACTGTGCGAGTGCAGGGGTGGGGGTGAAGGCTGGACATGCAGACACGGTGTGCAGGGCAGGGACACTCTGCCCCTCTGCCCCTCGCAGGGGGACTGGGCCAGATGGCCACCTGGCCACAGGGGCGTGAGACTCTCTTAGCTTGAATTCCAGAAGAACAAGGACTGTACATATAAATATTTACTGCAAAGGGGGGATGAGATGTGTCTGCTCTTCAGAGACCCCTAGAACCCCCCGGGCAGCTGCCGTGCACCTCGGCAGGCTTCTCATTGCATTCCTTACCCCTTAAACATCACAAGGGTTGTTTTTGTTTTGTCTCTTATTTCAGGCCATCAGTGGTTGTACTTTAAAGAAGGAAAAAAACCCAACGTTTAGGGTGCAGCTTTGCCTTATTCCCTTTGACTCATGCAAAACAAACACTTACTATATTTTTTCTGGGGAACAGGTGAGCAGGAACTGAAGCACTCCCTACCAACTTCTCAGCAACAAAACCATCACTATAATCAACTAGGGAAGTGGGTTCTACCAATGGGAAGTTTCAGAGCAAAGATCTGGGCTCTAAGCTAGGAACTGCCTTTCCCTTTCCAAAAAGAAATCGAAAGAATGATTGAAGGTCTATAAATTAAAAGATCCACATTAAAACTATTTACACTGGGCAAAACTGAGCACAAGCCTTGTGCCTTTCTCAGACCATCTGGGAGCAAATCAGATCCAAAGAGGTGGCAGAAAACCTTCTGCCCTTGCATATTCTAATACCCGAGGGATCGTATAAAACATGAGCAAGTATTCACAGGGCACTTGTTTGCTTTCAGTTCAGCTCCCAGCTTGGTTTTCATCATGAGATCTAACAGCAGCAGGACCCCTGCTCCTAGCTCTGATGATGATGACAAGATACATTCGCAGGTTTCCCACTTTTTGTATCACCAAAAATTAATCATAATAATTTAAAAAAACCCACAACCCAACAAATAATCAATTGACATTCGTCCTCCGGCCTGGCTGTTGGGGGGGTGGGGAGTGCTGGAGCCGGCTGCCCTGGAGTTCTAAGGTCTCCTTCTCTCTACTTCTTCTCCTTCTTCCCAGATTTCTTCTTGTTGCCCCCGGAGGGGTTGGTGGCCTTGGCGTCGCGTTTCCCGGCGGCGTTGGTGAGGGTGGCGGTGCTGCCCGGGATGTACACGTTCTGCCGGTAATCGGGGACGTGCTGCAGGGTGAACTGGGGGCCGTAGCGGGCGCTCAGCCCCATGGTGCCCGTCCCGCCCCCCAGGGTGGCGTTGGCATCAGCAGCTTCTGGGGGGAGGGGAAGAGAAGTTGTTAGTGGCGGTCACAGCTCCCCCCACCAAAAGCCCCAACGGCACCAAAAGGTTCTCATCTTTTGGGGGTCAAACCCAGGGGGTCAAACCTGGATCTTGGTGTCACAGAATCACAGAACAGTTTGGGTGGGAATGCACCTTAAAGATCATCCAGCTCCAACCCCCTGCATGGGCAGGGACACCTCCCACCAGCCCAGGCTGCTCCAAGCCCCATCCAACCTGCCCTTCAACACTGCCAGGGATGGGGCAGCCACAGCTTCCCTGGGCAACCTGGGCCAGGCTCTCACCACCCTCACAGCAAAGAATTTCTTCCTGAGTTTTCATCTCTTCCTAATTTAAAGCCATTCCACCTCATCCCATCCCTCCCTGCCCTTGTCCCAAGCCCCTCCCCAGCTTTCCTGGAGCCCCTTCAGGCTCTGGAAGGTGCTCTAAGGTGTCCTTGGTCACCAACCTTCACCCCCACCCCTCACTGCCATCACTCCACCAGCTCTAACTCGCGTGCAGGGGAACACGGCTCCAAACCCCCTTCTTTCCATCTCACCCCGTCGCTAAAGGGACTGGGGGCTGGGAGCTGCCCAGGCAGGAGGGCAACCTGTCCCCAGCCCTGGGCAGTGATGGGGCTGCGTGACCCTCCGGGCACCTTCTGCTCTGCCCCTGCACACAAACACCCCCCCCGACCCCTTTTCTAGAGCAGCCCATTACAAAGGTTCTGCTGAGCCACAACCACCAGCAATGCATCCGGGGACATCCAATATGATTCTTCTATTATTGTTATTACTATTATTATCATTATCATAATTATTATTATTACTATGATCATTATAATAATATTATAATCTCATATATTATAATGATATATTCTATATGTTATACATTATAGTTAATAAAATGTAGTACTATTATGTAGTACTATTATGTAGTACTATTATGATATAATAATAGTAAAAATTGTCTATTTGATATTATATATTAAATTTAAATAGTGATAGTAATAATAGTAATAATAATAGTTAATATTTTATTCTTGTTATTGTTATTACTATTTTTCCTCCCCATTTCAAACCCTGCCCCCCGTGTCTCCCCAGGCGGGTTCATTCAGGGAGCAAAGCGCACGAGATGAGGAAGAAAAATAAACCTCCCCTCCCCTGCAATACCACCCAACGGCTCTAGGAAGCCGAGCACGGAGGAAATCGATGCTGGATCTGCTGCTCCGGATCCGGGAGCAGGGGGAGGGGAAGGTGAATTCATCCCTGCCTCGCTGCAAAGCTCCGGGAGATGAGCTGCTGCATGAGCTGCTGCATGAGCTGCCCCATGAGCTGCCCCATGAGCTGCCCCCAGTGCGACCACCCGTCCTTCATAGAATCCCAGAATCCCAGGGGTTGGAAGGGACCTGGAAAGCTCCCCCAGCCCAACCCCCTGCCAGAGCAGGGGCACCCAGAGCACATCACACAGGATCCAGGGGGTTGGAATGTCTCCAGAGAAGGAGACTCCACAGCCTCTCTGGGCAGCCTGGCCCATCCTGTTCCACCCTTGCCCAGCTCCGCTCAGGAAGGGTTTGCTAAACCCCTGCCTCTGCCCTGGGTGCTGTGGGTGCCCAGCTCAGCCTTTTCACTGCTCCGTGGGTGTGGCTGTGGAGGGGCAAGAGACCCAGCGTGGGCACCTGGAGGCCCCAGGCAGAGCCCAGGGCTGCTTCTCCCTCCCTCCTCAGGCTGAGAGACTGAGGGGACCAAGGAAAACAAGCAGCAGGAAAGCTGGGCTGGTCCCCTCGTGTTTCTCCTCGCTCCAGAGCAGATCTGTGCACACCCCCCTGTTGTCTCAGCCCCCCCCCCCGAGCAGAGGGGGCTCAGCCAGTCAAAAAGCTCCACAAAAAGCTGGGCCCCATCCCCCCAGCCCCCTGGAATGTCCCTGCGTGCACATCCCTGGCTGAGGGCGGAAGGATGAAGCAGCTGCGCTTTGAAAACCTCCAGCTGCTGCTGCACAGGCAGAGGGAAACACAGCGAGGCCCAAAACAGGCAGGATATTGTGCACCAAGGCCCAGGGACACACAGAACAATGTCCAAACTGGGGTGGGAAATGCCCTTTGGCTTTTCTGCCATGGCAGCATTCACCAGCAGGAGGATATAGTCCCTATTAAATAAATCCCAGACCTCAAAACCAGGGCTTTGAGGACCTTGCTCTGGAGGAGATGGGCAGATAAAATCATAAAATCATAGAAAGGTTTGGGTTGGAAGGGACCTTAAAGATCCTCCAGATCCAACCCCCCTGCATGGGCAGGGACACCTCCCACCAGCCCAGGCTGCTCCAAGCCCCATCCAACCTGCCCTTCAACACTGCCAGGGATGGGGCAGCCACAGCTTCCCTGGGCAACCTGGGCCAGGCTCTCACCACCCTCACACCAAAGAATTTCCTCCTTATGTCCAACCTCAATCTCTCTCTTCCAGTTTTAATCCATCCTCCTCATCCCATCCCTCCCTGCCCTTGTCCCAAGCCCTCCCCAGCTTTCCTGGAGCCCCTTCAGGCACTGGAAGCTGCTCTAAGGTCTCCCAGGAGCCTTCTCTTCTCCAGGCTGAACACCCCAACTCTCCCAGACTGGCTCCAGAGCAGAGCAGCTCCAGCCCCTTGATCATCTCCGTGGCCTCCTCTTGACTCACTCCAGGAGCTCCATGTCCTTTCAGGAGTTTCTTTCATTATTAACTAACTCAAGCCCAGACCTGTTGGGGTGTTGGGAGCAGGGAGGGGATGGTTGGGGATGTGTTGTCAGGCCAGGCTGTAGCCAGGGACCTGCTCACAGGGGTCTGTGGCCTCTGGCAGTGGTAGAGATTTTTTTTTTTCTAGGCTCTCCCAGCTGGAAACAGCCCAGCTAGGGGCTTGGTGGGCTTGGGCACCTTCTCCTGGGTGCCTTTGATCTGCTTTCCCTCTGGACCATGCCAGCTGCAGCAGGGGCTCCCAGCAGCATCCAGGACAACTGGTCCCCAGGAACTGGTTTGCAGTCACAGCACAGCTTCCATGGGGGGGAATAAGCTGCCTGTGAAGTTCCCAGCCTGCTGTTTGGTGCAGGGTAAAGAGCAAAGGGTTGTTTCTAGGTAACAGTGACATTCAAGCTGAAAAAAAGAGAGAACAGGGACAATAAAGGTTTATAAATGGGCACCGAGCTGCTCTTGCCAAGCAGAGCCCTTCAGCTCTTGTTGCTGGAAAGGAGACACTGAGCCTGTACCAGCAGCCACCCACTGTCCCCAGAGGTCCTGAGGAGGGAAAGAAAAACCCCAAGAATTTGGTCTTTGGCAGAAATAACCAGCTAGTGGCTCCATCACCCCCCTGAGCAGAGGGGAGGAGAGGCCAACAGGAGCCAGCCCATGAGCACCAGCTGCTGCAGCTGCTGGTGGTGCTTCCAGGAGAAGCCAACACAGTGTGTCTGGCCCTGCCTGCAGGAGCTGGGGGCAAGGACCTCCTCAGGCTGCCTCTCTGTCTGCTCTCCCACCATCCCATGGCACCCCCATACATTCTCACTGGAAGCCTGAGTATTTTAAGGGCAGGACATCTGCCCTGCAGTGTCTGGTGTCCTGGAGCATCTGTGCTGCCTGGTCTGTCTGAGCAGCTGCCTCTGTCCCTTCAGATGGCTCAAAACACGGGCTTTTCTTGTTGTTCCCAGCTCCAGAGGAGGCCTCTGGGGAGACCTTAGAGCACCTTCCAGTACCTGAAGAGGCTCCAGGAAAGCTGGGGAGGGAATGTTTACAAGGGCAGGGACTTGAGAGGACAAGAGGGGATGGATTAAAACTGGAAGCATCAAAGGAGGTTCTGTGCAGACTCAAGCATGGGATTGATGCCCTTCAAGTCAGCATTGGCTGCTCCATGCAGGAGCAGCTCACACACTGAGTGGATGAGCAAAAGACACAGTGCCATTGTCACCTGGGTCACTGTGCCCCACCTGCCACCAAGAGAGCTCAGCAGAGCTCAGAGAGATAAGGTTCATTTAAATAGCCAGGAAACATTACTCAAGGATGGGCCAAGGTTAAGGGGCAATTAGCACTGCCTCTAATCAAAGCCTGCTCCAATCAACACTGTTAGCTTAATGAGTGAGAGCTTGAAAGAAAGGAACAGAGGGCAGGGGGGGCATGAAAATACAGTGCTGGTCAAAACAGCTTGTGCTGTGTCTCCATCCATCCATCCCTCCACCCATTCATCCATCTGTCCATCCACCCACCCACCCACCCAGTGCAGCAAAGGACCAGCAAGGACAAGCAGAGTGTGCAGTGCAGGGAGCAGGGAACCCTCCTAACCCTGGGAAAGCCCCTTCCTAGGGGATGGATCTGATTCACATGAACCCCCTGGGCAGGCTGAAGCCATGGGAGAGGTTAAGGGCTGGTTGAGACCTGTGGACTGGGGGAGATTTGCTGCAATAGGGGCCTGGAGCTACAGGGAAGTCGGTGCTTAACCTGGCAGGGACCTGCTCAGCCCTCAGATCCCAGGGGCTGCTGGAGAGCTGGTCAGAAAAACATCTTGATTTGTGAGCAAGGAAACCAAATCTGGAGGCACAGGGTGATAATATCCACATGCATTCCCAGAGGCTGGTTTTCCAGGGTTGTTTTTTTTTTTTTTTTTGGAGCAGAGACACATTTTCACATTGTTTCTTTCCCTTCAGTGTAAACAAGTCCCTTGGCCAAGACCTTGGTTCCCTTCCCTGGCCGGGGCAGCTGCCCCAGCCTGCCTGGAGTCTGCAGAGCAGCAAAGTTCAGCTGCAGCAGCTTTCCAAGAAAGCAACACCAAAGCCCTCCCTCCTCCCCCAGATTCCTTCTCTCCCAAAAGCTCAAAGGAAACATCCAAAGCATTTTTGCAGAGTGTTTTATGGCTGTGTTGTTGCTTCTATTTTTAAATCAAGAGGGGGGAAAGACTTGGAGGTTTTTATAAATAAAGGCTGCATGAAAACCAGGCTCTTCAGCCTTACCCTGTGCAGGGGTAATTGCACTTCTCCTCCACCAGGCCATGGAGACAGTGGGTGTGTGGGAACACCCCTCTCTGCCCACATGGCAGAGCCATAAACCAGAACAAACCAACCTAAAATGACTCCAGACTAAACCCTAGTGCTTAAAACTGCCAAGAGGCAGCAGCAGCTGGGAGGGAAACCCACAGCTTGGGGGAGGGACCCAGCATGATAAGGAGATCACACCAGTGTCTCTGGACACAGGGTTTGTTGGGGATACTGAGTCAGGCAGTTCCTGTGTCCCTGAACAGCCTCTAATCACTTGCAAATCTCCAGGCTTCCTCCCACCTCACCTTACAACAAGCTGCAACACAGCAAATACTTCATTTACCTTCTGGAAACAAGTAGTTCATTAAATGCCATCTCAAAACCAACTCTTCCATAGAACCACAACCACATCACGAGCCAGATAATGTCCTGGCCAGTACCCAGATAACACGGGGGAGTGGAAGAGGAACCCCTGTTCCTGCTGCTGCTGCCTACCTGGCACCTCCTCTGCTTCAATCCTTCCCAGCCCCTCTCCCCTGTAACAGACAGCACTGCCTTCCCACCAGCAGCTGGGGCAGAAGGACCTTTGAAGCCACCCCAGTTGACCCAGAAACTCCAGTCCCACCAGCAGCTGATCTAGCACCCGAGGTGGTGTTTTCCCACACGTCATGGAAACCAACCATTTGCTGAGGCCAGGATCATGGCTTGGAGCATCTCCGTGTCAAACTGGTTGTTGGGCCAAGCTCCACCTTCCTCTCCATTCTGGGAGCTATGGGAAAAGGAAAAAAAAACACAAAGTTACTAGAGCTTGTTCAGGAGGAGTCAGAGCATGAGAAGCCAAGGCTGGGGGTTTGTTCCCTGGTGAAGAGGAGTTTGCAGGCTTTAGATCCTACTATTAAATAACACTCAAGAGTGAGGACACTTTCAGAGGTCTCCATCCCTCTCCAGGCTTTTGAAGAATAACCACAAATACCAAAAGCACTTGAGGGCTCCATGGTGCTTCCAGCTTCCACCCAACTCCTGCTGACTTCAGATGCAGCACCTCCTCATCTCAAAATCCCACCAATATAATGGGACATCACAGGAAATGCTGGTCTTAGAGCCCCGGAGATCATAGAATCATAGAATGGTTTGGGTTGGAAGGGACCTTCAAGATCACTCAGTCCCACCCCCTGCATGGGCAGGGACACCTCCCACCAGCCCAGGCTGCTCCAAGCCCCATCCAACCTGCCCTTCAACACTGCCAGGGATGGGGCAGCCACAGCTTCCCTGGGCAGCCTGGGCCAGGCTCTCACCACCCTCACAGCAAAGAATCTCCTGGCACCTTTTATACAATCAGGGCCTCTGTTCCCCTGGCAGACCATGGGAGTGGATGAACCTTTCCAGCTACTTCAGGCTACAACTCTGCTCTGCAGCTTCATTCCTAAGACGGAGGGTGAGAAAACCCCGTGGTGTGTTGGGCTTTGGGTTCTGGATGGAGCCAGCTGCCCAGCACCACAAAACCTGCTCTGAAGGGAGGCCAAGAGCAGCCACCAGCTCTGCAGAGCCAGCAGGGAACAGTCCTGGAGAGCCTGGAGCAACATGGAGAGGAGAGACAGGAGGTGGGTACCCATCCTGGTTCCCTAGGGCTGGCTGATGGAGGGGCTGAGCTCCCCCCACCTGCCTGGGAAACCTCTGGGGATGCCACCAAGCTTTGATAAAGGAGTTTTTGTGACTGAGGTTACAATCTGCAGCCTGTGCTCAGGCTCACAAGCCCTGCATTCACGTTTGAAGGTGCCAGCTGAGCTCAGCCACTGCGCACTGGTGGAGGCACTTCCCCTTTGGACAGGTCAGGGCTGGGCTCCCAGAGCCCCTCCAGACCCTCCTCACTTCCAGCAGAGAGACCTAAACTTCTCACCAGCTTCCTGGGTCCTCCTCTGCTCTGACCCTAAGTGCCCACATCACTCAGCCCACCAATGCCCCTCTCCCAGCTCCTGACCACCCACAGCTCTTGCTGCCCACTGGGGTGCCAGGCTCTGCCCAGGAGCTGTGGGTTGGCTTGCCTGGGACCAGGGCTGCCCCTCTCTTCCAGCTGGAAGCTCTTCAGAAGTAAAATGGGGCTGTTTGAAAGCCCTTCCCCTTGAAGAGAGCTGAGCCCATTCCTCAGGCAAGTGGTTGAACCCCCAGGCAAGGAGGTCCCAGCCTTCACACCCAGGAGCTGCCAGAGCCAGCAGCCCTGCTCAGAGCCCAAAGCCCAGCTCAGACATCCTGAAGCAGCCAAGATCTCCCCCAGCTTTGGGGTCTCCTGCCAGCAGCTTCATGCTTGAGCACTCAGCACCCCACATGCTGCAAATGCCAATGTGGGCACTGCTGCTGCCAACTCACCACCACGTGCTGGGTGGCAGATGGGTCCTTCACCACCACGCCAAGCATCCTGCTGCCCAAGTGTCCCCACCAGCCCTGCCTGCTGCAGCCCTCACACACAGGACAGGCTCAATGTGGCCATTCTGGAAATGGGAGGGACCCCAGGCACACCCTTGAAGGTTGTATCTGCTGTGGTGACCTGGAAGTGTGGGCAGGTGTTGCCCAAGCTGCATCACAGCTCTGCCAGGAGGGAAGCCCTGAAGGCACCTGAGCTTTCTGCATCCTCCCTGTGCAAGGAAGAAAAACTGCAGATGCACAGGATGGGTAAGGGTGTCCACGGGCCCCACGTGGCCCTGCCTGGTCACACAGCTTGGTATGGATCCAGTGAGGGGAGCATGTGGGCAAGTTCCCTTTGAAACACAAGATCACAGAATCATAGAGTAGTTTTGGTTGGAAAGGACCTTTCAGATCATTGAGTCCAATCACTCACCCAACGCTGTGGAGTGTTGTGCTGATCCATGTCCCTCAGCACCATCTCCAGGGCTTGGAAACCCCTCCAGGGATGGGGACTCCCCCCTCTGCCCTGGGCAGCCTGGGCCAGGCTCTGACAGCCCTTGCCAGGCAGGAATTGTTCCCCAAATCCAACCTCAACCTCCCCTGGCACAACTTGAGGCCATTTCCTCTTGTCCCATCCCTTGTTCCTGGGGAGCAGAGCCCGACCCCCCTGGCTCCAACCTCCTCTCAGCAGCTGCAGAGCCAGCAGGTCTCCCCTCAGCTCCTGCTCTCCAGGCTGGACACCCCCAGCTCCCTCAGCTGCTCCTGCTCACACTTGTGCTCCAGCCCCTTCCCCAGCTCCCCTGCCCTTCCCTGGACACGCTCCAGCCCCTCCATGTCCTTCTTGTCCTGAGGGGCCCAGAACTGACCCCAGGATTAAGGCACCTGAGCTTTCTGCATCCTCCCTGTGCAAGGAAGAAAAACTGCAGATGCACAGGATGGGTAAGGGTGTCCACGGGCCCCACGTGGCCCTGCCTGGTCACACAGCTTGGTATGGATCCAGTGAGGGGAGCATGTGGGCAAGTTCCCTTTGAAACACAAGATCACAGAATCATAGAGTAGTTTTGGTTGGAAAGGACCTTTCAGATCATTGAGTCCAATCACTCACCCAACGCTGTGGAGTGTTGTGCTGATCCATGTCCCTCAGCACCATCTCCAGGGCTTGGAAACCCCTCCAGGGATGGGGACTCCCCCCTGCCCTGGGCAGCCTGGGCAGGACCTGACAACCCTTGCCAGGCAGGAATTGTTCCCCAGATCCAACCTCAACCTCCCCTGGCACAACTTGAGGCCATTTCCTCTTGTCCCATCCCTTGTTCCTGGGGAGCAGAGCCCGACCCCCCTGGCTCCAACCTCCTCTCAGCAGCTGCAGAGCCAGCAGGTCTCCCCTCATCTCCTGGTCTCCAGGCTGGACACCCCCATCTCCCTCAGCTGCTCCTGCTCACACTTGTGCTCCAGCCCCTTCCCCAGCTCCCCTGCCCTTCCCTGGACACGCTCCAGCCCCTCCATGTCCTTCTTGTCCTGAGGGGCCCAGAACTGACCCAGGATTTGAGGTGATCTGAGTGTAAGGATGTGTGTATGGACACTCCCAAGCTCTCTGCATAAAATCTGGTCTCAAGCAACTTGCCCAAAGACACACAGGACTTGTGTGTCAGGACCACCCATCCTTACCCCTCTGGTACCACCTGCCTGGTCCATCTCCAGGCAGGTGCAGGACTCTGCTCTCCCACCAGTTCATCCACAGAGGATGCAAACAACCCCTAAGGTAACACAGGCTGCCCTGGAATGACCCTGCCAGCAGCACCACTCCTGAGATACCTGCTGTCTGCTGCAAGCCAGGGCATCCCAAAAACTATTTATATCCATCCTCGGCACTGTGGGTGGTGGCACAGTTTCAAGAAGGCCAGAAGCAAGGCTTGCAAATTGATTTCAGAGCTGGTGGGATGGCTGTGCTGAGGCTGGTGCTGCTGCCCTGCCTTGTGCTGTGCCAGGAGCATGCAGACATGCCCTGGCAGTGGGGACATGTTGGGACAGCCCTGGGGCTGCAGTGACCTGTTAATGTCACAAGCAGGGCTGGAAATAAAGCCCTGGGCTAGATCCAATAAAGGACTTAGGAACATAAACCCATTGGAAACCACAACCCATTCAGCTGCCAGTTAACCCCAGCAACTCCTTTTCCCCCCTATTGTCCCCCTGTGGCAACTGAAGGAGGTTCCCAGGTTGTTTAGGGTTGCAAGAGAAGTGCCCAGAAACATCCCTGAGCCTTCCAGCTGCTGCTGCAGGCTCTGGGGGCTGCCCTGGCATGTGGATGGGATCTGGGAGAGGGAAAGTACAAGGAAGGGCCAAGTCCATCTTCATTTATTTTTGTAGAGATTGCAGTGTTCCAGAGGTTTGAACTCTGTTTTGAAGTCGGAGGCCCAGGTTCAACTCCCTCTTTGACAGGGCAGTGCCAGCATCACGTTTTCCACCTCCTGCCTCCTGCCTTGGTCAAAGCCATGCCCTAGGACAGTGGGAAGGCATGGAAAGAAAGGTCCATCCTACTGCCAGGGCATTCACCTTGGAGCTGGCACCAAGACCCCCAACCTCACAGAGCTCCTAACCAGGTCCAGACACAGGCAGGACCTCTGGCCACCACCAGCACCCAACTTGCCAGGGGAATGGAAACGGGGGAGAATGGGCTGTAGTTAGTCCCTGCAGCCTGAGGGAGGGCTGAGCAGCACAGCCCAACCCCTCTGGTGCACAGCCCAGGAGGAGCAGCTGTACCTGGAACAGGGAATAATCAGATGGTTTGAGTTGGAGGAGACCTTAGAAGTCACCCAGTCCCACCCCCTGTACAGGCAGGGACACCTCCCACCAGCCCAGGCTGCTCCAAGCCCCATCCAACCTGCCCTTCAACACTGCCAGGGATGGGGCAGCCACAGCTTCCCTGGGCAACCTGGGCCAGGCTCTCACCACCCTCACACCAAAGAATTTCCTCCTCATGTCTCACCTCAATCTCCCTCTTCCAGTTTTCATCCATCCCCCTCATCCCATCCCTCCCTGCCCTTGTCCCAAGCCCCTCCCCAGCTTTCCTGGAGCCCCTTCAGGCACTGGAAGCTGCTCTAAGGTCTCCCTGGAGCCTTCTCTTCTCCAGGCTGAACACCCCAACTCTCCCAGCCTGGCTCCAGAGCTGCTCCAGCCCTCCCAGCATCTCTGGGGCCTCCTGAGTCCTGTCGTGTTGCAACATGTGCCTGTTGCCCCTATCACTGTGCACCTCTGAAGACAGCAACAAGACCCTTCTCCCAGCTCTCACTCCTCCAACCTGAAGGGACCCTCAGCCTCTCCTCCTCTGCCTCAGGCTCCAGCCTTCTGATCATTTTGGTCGTCCCCATATGT